CGTTACTTAAAATTCAATATTACAAGTAAATTATGCATGGTACAACTTATTAAAGCTTAAAGTTCGAATTCGTATGGATAAATATAATCAAATAGAGGATAAACATCTCATTTTAAAATATTAAAAATCTAAAATATAATTAAGATAATTATCGAGTTCTAATAGTATCATTATCTTTATAAAAAATTTATGGTTAAGCCAAAAATAAATTACTTCACTATTTGATCTAAATTAAATTATAATAAAAAAATAAATTATATAAATTATATAAAAAATAAGAACTTTTAAATAGTTAATTTGATATTAATATCGATATATTTTTTTTAATTTATTTTTAGTCAAAGTAAAAACATTATCTTTCTCAAAGCCACATAAACCATATTATATCAACAGACAAAAAATAAAATGAAATATTAAAAGAAATACGTATCTCGCTGCATTACGCGAGTACCATTCTAGTTTAACCTAAATTAAATATTATAATAAAAATAGAATTAAAGAAATTGTACAAAAAAATGAGAACTTTTAAATAGTTATTTGATATTAATATGAATATATATTTTTCAAATTTTTATGATGTCTTCAAATTTATTTTTATTCAAAAATAAAAACATTATTTTTCTCAAAACCACATAAACCATATTATATCAACAAAGAAAAAAAAATAAAACGAAATATTAAAATGAAGATGTATCTCGCTGCATTGCGCGAATATCATTGTAGTTATTTAATAAATATATTAAATTAAGTAGAAGTTTTATAAATTATTCGTTAATATAACAATATTAAAAAAACTTGTAGAGTGTTACATATATATATATATCTACTGAACATTTTAAAAACCGTAAAAATATGTCTTGTTTGAACAAGAAAGATAAGAAGTGTAATATTTTTTTTACAACATTCATCTTGAAAGGAATATATATATATATATATATATATACTAGTTGTGTACCCGAGCAATGCGGCGGGAGCCATGAATTTTAACGATTTTGAAGTTCCACTGGTTTTATAAGATAAGATTTAACAATGATATATGTTACATTTGGTCTTTACATATTAATACAATTTGAATAAATAAGAGTTATGGTTCAAATTACAGACTATCGATAAAAAAATTGTATGACAGAATAAATCCAATATATTTAAAATCCAGCATATTTAAACGACTTCATAAATGTGTTCGATTTACACCAAGAGCAAAGAACCAAGAAACTTGAGTTTTAAGATAAACATTCAAAACCAATAAAGAAAACTACAAATTTGACAGATCATAAGCCATGAAAAGACAAAAAAAAATGAGTTTTAAAATGAAATTTCAACTGTTTACTCTTTTTCTTGTCCAAAAACTCATATTAAGGTTACATGTATATATATATATTTCAAAAAAACCCAAAAACATATTATACAGTGCAATTTGGATAGCCTAACCCCAAAATATAATATATATATATATATATATAAATAAATAACTATAAAAGTATAAATCGTAAATATTAAAAATATTTTTTCACAATATGTATAATATATAATAAT